CTGCAAAGAACAGAGAAATTCTGTATGATTCCTTGCAGTTGGCTCATAAGTGCATCCTCAATTCTTTTTATGGATATGTCATGAGAAAGGGGTATGTAAATGATCTAAATAAATTGTAATGTATTTATGTGGAAACAAAACAAAAATTCAAATTATAGAGACTTCAATAGCTCATACAAATTCATGCAGACACAGTGATATGTAGGAGTAAGTGTTAGCAATGACATTTGTACAGAATATAGAGTTTGTCATTAGACTGGTTCCTGCAGCTGACAGCGGTCTTCACAGATAGCTCTGTTATGGTCGCCAATAACTGTGCCCTACTTTCAGCTGTAGTTTAAGTTACCTTGTTTTGGTGAATAGTCTCAAGATGATGACCTTCGAAACATGCCTCACATTATGAGAATATGTGCGTAGACACACATTTAATCTGCTATATGGGAATGTCGGTAGTTTTGTGCCTAATATTTTCTTTAAGTATTTCAAAAAAGTTTATTGTTCACATACACAAGTCACCAGAATTTAAATTGGGTGATCAGGGTAGCCGCAGTCCTCAATCTATGACATGTTCACTGAAGACTTCATTCAGTTCAACCTCAAAATTTTTCCCAGTGTGACACTTCATGAACAGTATAAGGAATTTTTATGTTATGTTATTTTGGCTCTATGGCGAGCAATCCTGAGGAAGGCCAGGTCTCACAAAGGGCTGTCGTGCCAGTGATGGTGATAATTTGGGCTATATATTTAATCACTTAAAGTAACCATGCCTTGTGAGAATAAAATGTAAGTCCTGGATTATGAAGTCCATTTCTTACAATTTCTGAAACCACCTACAATATTGAACTCTCGCTTTGCTATCTGAAGGCAAAATGCTCTGTACAACTGTAGTTTTGTAATGCTGTAATTTCAGCTACTTTGTACCAAGATGAGCTTTACTTTTTGCTAACCTACATTGAAGATCCAAAAGACATAACATCTTTAGGCTTGTTTTTAATCAAGTACTGATGCCATCAAGTTTTTCTTTCAGGCAGTCCAAGTCTTTTGAAATTCCTTTTTGTCTAGCATTGTAGAACATAAGTTGCCCTCTAACACTGCTCAACCATCTGGGTTACTGCAAAATCTTTGTGTGACTCTTGCTGTTATTTGGGTAAGTGAAGTAAAAAGTAAACCTATCCCTGTAACAGGCCGTGAAGGCCCATAGGGTTATGAGATGTTGAGGGTCCTACATTATGTAGACAATCGGCTCAGAGATGGTGGTAAGGTTGTCAGCCTTATGCGCCAACCACGCTTTACTCCCCAGGAAGATTATTTAATTAATTTTTGGTACTCATTTCTGTTAGAGGCTGAGTGAACCCCAGGGCCATAGTGTGGCCGGAAGGATTAGGTCAATTGAAAAAAAATCCAGTGACCTCATCGGGACTTGAACCCGCAACCTTCCGGCTTGTGACATAGTGCCTCAACCAACTACACTACCGAGTGCCCCCACTCTTATTGGGGTACAAACAATTAATCCAAATCATACACTTTACCTTATGTTCAAATAATTGCTTGAAGAGGATGATTTATACGCTGAGTAGTACTTCAACATTACTGTAGTATGATGGTAGAATTCATATATTATTATAAAGAATTTTTTTCTACACAATTGTCAGTTGTCTAGGCATAGGCATATGTGATATGTACAATATTACAGGAGTGTTCTCTACTCCCATCTTCAGCTGCCTGCTTGTCATCGTAGTAACACCTATATTTTTGATACAGTTGAAGTCTTTGGATGCTAGTCCGCCATGCTTATCATACAGGGTTATTGTTTTATGGTTTCCAGCTTCAATTTCGACTGTTTCGCTTAATATATTTCCAAGTTTCAGTATGTAATGACGAGCTTCACGTTCAAGCGCCGTGATTTACGAGGGATGAAAGAAAGGAAAGCCACTTGGCCTTCTCATTCAGCCAAAACAGAATGTATCACAACAATTTAGGTACAAAGTAGCTGAATAAATATAACACAGAAAATATGGTGTTATGTATTTTTTCAAAGTTCATGTTTCCTTTAGCCCCCTCATTGCTCTTAAGGACAGGTCTCTGACATGTGCAAAGATGTTCCACAGCCCACCTTGGTCAGTCTCTTCTCATCTGACTCATGGCAAACCTCTTCTGCAGCTGGAAATGATGAGCCAGTCAAAATTCACAGTAAGGCTTTCAGTAGATAGCAATTACTGAGAATAGGTCCAATCAGAGGCAAAAGATAAAATGGGAAATAAAGTTACTGTGCTATACTGTTGTGTGTCTGTGACATGCTAAGGAGATAGGGCATCCTGCCCAGTTCTCCCTCACACCAGTGTGCAACATAACAAATATAATGAAGACCATTCACTTGAAGAGGGAACTTCTAAGACATGTCTATCAAAAAAGCTTGGTTTCTATTTGTAACACTGAAGCCAGTAATAATGAAATTAAATACCATTCATTATTCAAGGATACAAAATTAAAGGTAGTCATAAAATTGAAACTTGTGTTAAAGATTCTTTCATCATTAAACTGTATGCACAAAAGTCTATAGCATTTTATAATGAGATCTAAAAGGTATATATTTGTAGTAATTACTTGTAATATTTTATGTGTATGTTATATGCAGTGCTCGCTGGCACAGTATGGAGATGGCAGGGATAGTGTGCTATACTGGTGCTGCCATCATCACTAAGGCTCGTGAAATTATTGAACAAGTTGGTAGACCTTTAGAACTCGACACAGATGGGATCTGGTGTGTGCTGCCAGAATCATTCCCTGAGAATTATGTTATTAAAAGTACACATCCAAAGAAACCCAAGGTGGAGATCTCATACACCAATGCCGTACTGAACTCCATGGTAAAGGTATGTATATAACAAGGCGTTCCAAGTGGAACTCATAAAGCCTACTCTTGCTCATGAAAGGATTTGTAGTTTTATACATTTGTTACTGATATAATTTCATATTTCTGAAGAACTTATTTCTTATATACAGATTCTGCCTGCAATGAATTTGTCAGATAACCACAAAGTTTCACACCTTGGCCATGTTTTTATTTTATTGACTTAACAGTATTTCATACAGGATGTGCAGCTATATTTGTAATCCATCCCCATACAAGATTTCTCAAGCCCATTGCCATAAGATTGAAAGTGAGAGACATTTTTGTATGGCTGCTGTATTATTTTAGAGCTCACAAAAATGTTTCCTTAATAAAGTTACTGATTTTTTTGGGAGGTCTGTTACCGTGTCAAGTACATCATATCAGGACCATAAATGAATCTTAGTGCTGCTCCCACCAAACAAGTTTGCTCATGTGTCATGCTGTTATTACTAATTGTAGAAAGTTAAGAAGTAAGATCCTGAGATCGTCTCCAATGAAGTAATGCTCATATCAGATTTCATGAAAATAATTCATTCAGTTTAAGCATTGAAATGGGGGGGCCCACACACAAACAGCATGGCGATCTTATAAGCCAGCTTTTTTTCCCTTAAGGAAGGGTAGTTTTCATGGTTTTCCTCAGTCCATGTGAATGCAAGGATAATACCTTATATTAGGCCATGGCCACATCCTATCAAATTCAATATTCATTATCATCCAGTCATTCAGGACTGTGTAATCTGAGGTAGTGATGCAGCATTAAACAAGCTAAATAAATAAATACATAACTTCAAATGGTAAATCCCTAGCATCAGAAACTGAAAGAAGAAAAATATAATAATTGATATGAAATTAAAACTCATTATAACTCATACAAGATTCATGTTCTGCAAATCAGTATACAAGTGTAACATCACAGATGTGTTCATTATGTTAAACGTCAGATTGATTAATAGACCAAAATGGTTCTATTGTTATGTAATCCTCTTCAGGTCCTGTGTTTTTTTTATATTATTTATTTATTTTTTTATTCGCTTAGTGGGGAGTGGAGTCCCACTGGGTCCACTCGGCACGGCGGCCACTGATTGGCCTATTGTAGCCTGCACCGTGTGATTATGATGATGGAGAATTTGGTGGAATGATGATTGGCAGGACAAACCGAAGTACTCGGAGAAAACCCACCCCAGTGTCACTTTGTCCACCACAAATCCCACTTGACCAGACCCGGGATCGAACCTGGGCCGCCGCGGTGGGAAGCCAGCGACTAACTGCTTGAGCTATGGTGTGGCCTAGGTCCTATGTGTTGCATAGCTTGTTACATAATTTGATGCATTGTCATATGCATTTTCAGTTAAATTTGATGGGTAAGTATTGATTATAAATTCACTTCTCTGGATGTAGTGTGACCATAGCATGAAGTAGTTTGGGAAGAATTCAATGATTCCATGATGGTTGACCCCTTACCACCATCTAGTGCCAAGGTCTAGATTGCATGGAGATTTTCCTCTGGCCCCAACAATTTTCATGTCTGGTGCTCGATCACAGGTTGAACTTTCATTTGCTTTTGTATATAATGGAATATGGATACCAGTATTTCATAAAATAAGGTAAAGCTATCCCTGTAACAAACTGTGGAGGCCCAAAGAGTTATGAGATGTCAAGTCTCCCACATTTTCTAGACAATTGGCTCACAGATGGCGATGAGGTTGTCAGCCTTACACACCAGCTGCCCTTTACCCCCAGCAAGATTCTTGGTTCTCATTTCTGTTATAGGCTGAGTTGACCCAAGGTCCATAGTGCAGCTGGAAGGATTAAGTAAATTGAAAAATGTAATGACCTCATCGGGAAACAACCCCGCAATCTTCCGGCTTCTAGCATAGTGCCTCAACCAACTACTGTACCTTTTTCACAGTATGTGTTAAATGCATGAGGATACCCTTATACATTTTTAGTATTTTTTTCAGGATCATTTTACTAATGATCAGTACCATGAGCTGATGGATCCAGAGACATTAACATACACACAGCGTAGTGAGAATTCAATTTTCTTTGAAGTAGATGGTCCATATCTTGCAATGGTATTGCCAGCTTCAAAAGAGGAAGGAAAGAAACTCAAGAAACGTTATGCAGTGTTCAATTATAACGGAACTCTAGCGGAATTAAAAGGGTATGTGCTTTCTCTCTTCATATGCATGACTGAACGTCTCATATTTCTAATTTTATATATATATATATGTATGTATGTATGTTCAACCTTACATGTGTGCGCACTTTACTGAACTTTACTTATATAAGATTTCATCTATTTCATATTAGATCTGGAAGTATGATTAGGGACCATTGGAGTTGATTCATTATATTGTCATGTAGTGCGTGTGTACCTATAGATGGGGTTTGGATCGATGAATGGATTTATTGACCACTTATACACACGACTCGGGACTACAAGTGGTTATAACACCACCACTAATCTCCACAATTTCACAAATCACCATACCACCTGATAAGCCTTCTGCAGCCTTTCCCTGGCAACTGCTTCTAACAATGGAGATTCTTCAGTTTCATGTGCTCAGGTCCTGTCTTTACAGCCTCCTCTACAGGGCTCAAATGAACTGACTTGGTCACCCCAGTTGTCTTCAAGATAACTCCTTGGCACAAACCACATAGAAACACCCTGTTTCCAACTGTTGCATTATTAAGAATCTGCTGCCTAGCAATGGGAACATGTTTACTGAGCTGTTGACCAGAAACAGTAGTTGTTTATAGTCACTGCTTAGCAACAGGTCTATATGTCACATTATTATGTTGGACACAGTGCATTGTTTGAGGTACCAGTATATTTGGTGTACATGACTTATAGGGAGCTGGCTCCATCTGCTCCAATCTGTAGGTGATTGGTTGCTATTATACTCATGGATCTGTTATAGCTTTTTCTACTGCAGGGAGAGAGGAGATATATAACTGCATATGTAACATCAGTACAGTTACAGCAACTATTCTTGTCTGCCCCAGAGATTTGCATACTATCCTTATATTCATAAAGTCCTGGGTTCAGTCCTGGCATTGCTAACAGCGATAAATGCTAAAGAAGTCATAAAAGGACTGTCAGTATAATGGAAACCCATAAGCTGAAGATAGTCATATCAGTATTGTCATCTGCTTGCTGGAGTGATGTTTTTGGCTTTGATTGTTTGCAGGCATTTCTTACACAGGTTGATGTTTGTATCATATATCTTTGCAAGGAAGTATTATAAATTTAGGAACTAGAGGCTGAAAGTATTGTGTGCATCTGGTTAAAACACCGAGTAAAGTATTGAATATGGTAATTGCCAAATAGCCATGATTCATATACCTCCACCTGCCCACTCTGAGAAGTGAATGTAGTGAGTGACATTGTTAGTAAAAGTATGAATTCATATTAGCTTTACTACTGTCTTGAATTTGTTTGCACAAATGAATTTATATGACAGCACAGACTTGATGGAGTTTACCATGAAAGGAAGAAGAAGTTAAAGGAGCTGGAAGAAATGACAGTGATGTAACTTTACATTACATATTGCTATTGGACTAGTCTCAAAACTGATCCATTGGGCAGGTTAGAAGTTTTGTTTTGTTATATAGTAATCAAGAATTCCTTTAGGGAGTTGGGAATAAGAAAGGGGTAAATCATTCTTGCATAGCATTTCAGTGTTCTTGAGTCTGGACGTTGAAGCTGAAGCTAGGAACCTGCTGCAGTAAAAGTAAAATTGTCTTGCGCCTAAGTATCATGCCATGAAGGGGTATGAGATAATGGAGGTAGAGTTCTCTGCATTATTGCATCTTAACCAGAATAAGGCAGTTGATCAGCTTCATGCTCTGACTGCTTTATGCCCAGAGAGGAAGCCCCTGTTAGCCACTGGATAGAAGAAGTTTTGGCCGGTATATATAAGCATATTGCTGATTTTTCTTAACAGATTATATGAAACACTGACTTCCCTATTGTATTCCTGGGGATTTTTGTTACAGTTTTGAAGTTAAACGCAGAGGAGAGTTGCAGCTCATAAAAATCTTCCAGTCTTCTGTGTTTGCTGCATTCCTGAAGGGTAATACATTGGAGACTTGTTATGAGTCTGTTGCAAAAGTGGCTGATTATTGGCTTGATGTTCTGTATAGTAAGGTTAGTCTTTCAAGATGTGTATTAACTTTGTCTTTTGTTCTTCTGTAATATACCAATATGCTGTGTGGCATATCAATAACTATAGTGCTACCTGTTAGGGCACAGACATTAGTGTACCATTCTAAACATCATGTTGTAATGCTGCTACTTCTGGTACATGTGTATGACAAGACTGTGTTGACTTATCTGCTATGACCAAACAGAAAATATGAATCTTGATAGGGACTTGAATGCCTAATGAATCTATGGAAGCAGTCATTCATAAGTGTACTGGATACCCAAAGTGTGTCTGCCAGATATGTACCAGAATATTTGGACATGGACCAGAAGAGCTTCCAGAAAAGAAAGCAACATATAAAGAAATCTTAGTATACCATAACTCTGGGAAAGCAGTAGAGCTTCATGAAGTAGAAGCACACAGTCTCACTTACACCAAAGAAATTCGAGAGTGAACTGAGTTGTGGTGAATGACTTCTGAGACATGTTGAGGGTCATTCACTTCATTTCGTGCCAACTATCATTACTGTGACTACCTGTTCCTATTCCTGTAATGTTGTGAGAATCTATTTGCAAGAAGCCATGATCCTTGTGAAAATGCGTGATTTTTCTAGGAAAAAAAATGCAGCAACTGCAAGTGAAGCACTCTAACTTGTGAATATGATGTGGGAAGGGCTTCAGTGCCCTCTTAGTCGATACTTACCTCTGAGTGATTTCCATCCCACTGAATGAATTCATGGAAGGTGTCAAATTTGAATATAATGATCATATTAGCAGCTTGTCTGTCATTTTCTTGCAGAGGCTTTGTAAGGCTAGTCTGTAACTCGGTTTATGAAGCTTCAACAGCAAGTGTTGTATGTTGAGAATCAAAGGTTCCAAAACTTTCAACGCAAGGTCTACCATACAGTGAAGTCCTCCAAACTGTTATGGATTCATAGTAATGTCAGTGACTGGTGACATGCAAAGAATATTTCAAAGATATGATTTGATGTGTGACCGAAGAACTGTAACCTCTGATCATTTTAATCAGTTATAGAATGAAACTTGCTGTCCATATGGCTTCAGAGCATATCATGATAGAAGTTTAACAGAAAAAAATGTGGATTTCCTTGTAGAGTGATAAACTTTAATATCACCTCATTTCATTCATAAATTACATGTTGCTTTATTTACAGGCTTGCAACATGCCTGATTCGGAATTGTTTGAGCTGATATCAGAAAATCGCTCCATGTCTCGCAAGCTTGAAGACTACGGCAGCCAGAAGTCTACGTCAATATCTACTGCAAAGCGTTTAGCAGAGTTTCTAGGAGACCAAATGGTAAAAGATGCAGGTCTTGCTTGCAGATTTATCATATCAAAGAAACCAGAAGGAGCACCTGTCACTGAAAGGTACACATTCTAACTATGTAACTCTTCTTCTTCTTCTAGAATAATAAATTTTCTTTTTCTTCCATCCACCCATCCGTCTCTTCTGCCTTCTTCCACTATGGACTTGGTCTTCAACTTCATTGTGTTAATTCATTTTTCTGTTTTAACAGCCAGTGCAGTTGTTGATTGAGCGATGGTCTGATGATACTAGAGGAAATAGGGGTCAGAGCTTCCTTAGATATTGGGCCATATGCACTTGTTAATAATGTAACTATCAGCTGTGGAAGTATGAGTTTTCCTGTCAAATGTTATTTGCCTTTACAAACATAATTTATCAGTAAGAAACAAAAGAGAAAACCAACTTGAAACAAATGAATGTATAGCAGTTAGGTTAATGTTTAGTCATTCCCTTCAGGATATTCCATTTGGCATGCACTGCCCCCAGAAATCACATGCTCAAGTAACTGATTGTAAGTGGTCAACTGAAATAGTGAAAGCCATTGCAAGATGTGGTGTGACTCCCCTTGCTGAGCAGATACGAGGGGGGACCCAAAAATAACCAGAATTTATTTTTGTTATTTTTTATTTTTGCATTTTTATTGAACTGTATATTAGTCCTGGCGGAATGAACTCTTTGTGGACAATGCCATTCACATCAAAAAATCAAATCAACATTGTTTTCACATTGGATCGCACTTGACGCGCTTTCTTCGGTCGTGGTGAAGTTGGAGTTTTCTACTGGCTTGATGATTGCTTTGATTCTGGATCATACCCGTAGCACCAAGACTCATCGCCAGTCACAATTCTTTTAAGAAATTCTGGATCGTTCTGCACTTCACTCTTCAAGTCGCGGCAAACATTCACGCAGTTTTCTCTTTGGCCATCTCCGAGCAAGCGAGGAACAAATTTTGCAGACACCCGTCTCATGTGCAAACCTTCGGTTAAAATTCGCTGGACCGTGCTCCATGAGATGTTCGTTTCCTCAGAAAGTTGGTCAATGGTCTTTCGATGATTTTCATCAATTGCACGTTTGATTTTGGCAATGTTTTCATCATTTCTTCCTGTCGAAGGACGCCCGGGGCGTGGCATGTCTTCTGTTGACATTTTGCCAGCTTTGAAACGGGAAAACCACTCGTAGACCTGTGATTTCCCCAAAGCATCATCATTAAAGGCTTGCCGAAGCATCCCAACAGTCTCGGCTGCAGTTTTCCCTAACAGAAAGCAAAAGTTCANACTTATTTATGTATAGGAACGAAATGTAATAAAACTCGCATATGTGTTAACAGTAAACTGGGATAACATGTTTTCTTACTTGTTAGTTTTTGTAAACAGTTAAGCTGATAGAATTTGTGCAGTTTTATTTGTAAATGTATGTGCTTCTGGTGTATCTGACCTACCATTCTTTTCAAGCTGTTTACATCATCTCACAAACACAAACATTGTGAGACTGTGTAAACTGGTACACTAGGTAATGGAGGTTTGAACACAGTAATGTTTCAGCTGCAATGAAAATTCAACCAGAAGGTGTCCAGAAAGACCCTGCTGTCAAAAATGCTATTTCTTGGCTATCAAACTAGAAACGAGATTTAATTACTTGGCTCAGAAGGAAACTGAGTCATGTGGGAATTCTTATATTGCAAACTTTGGCTCTGTTCCTCTGTGTTCAGCTGTCAACATTTTCTGAGAAATTCCTGTTTTCTTTCATTGGATGAAGGTTAAAAAAAGAACATTCATAAAATTTTTTGTCACACTTCGTCTGACAGAAAACTTCATTTGCAAGGTTGTGCATATGGTTTTATATATAAGGCATCTAAAGAAGTGAAAAGCATTTTATTGTGGCAAGAAACTTTACAGTGTGACGGCTCAACAAACATTGTGGGATAATTTTAATTTGTTGTGGGGTATTTGTAAAAATTTAAGTGAGTTGTTTAATAGTGTGTGAAATGATCAAGTACATTGACACATGTAAGAATATCCTGGATTTTCCACGCTTTTTGATTATTTGTATATTTAATTTCCATTATTAGCCTGGATAATCTGGAGTTGAATGTAATTGTAATTTCTTCTTGTATGTGCCTGTGTGTGAGATCTTAATATTGTCTTGTTTTCTTTGCCTTTTTCTTTATTTTACGTTTATGAATGTTTTCCAGTTGTAAGAAGTACAGAATGATGTTGCTGAACACAAGAGTTGCATGCCATATATTAGTTATCGTAACCTTTTTTATTTTATTATACAGAAAACTTTGATTTTGTGATACTCATATTGGCCAGATGAATAGCCAGTTTCTATTCAGGAAAATGAAATTTTATGGTGGCCATTCAAAAAGTAACTTCCAGTGAGCTGTTAACAAAAATGCAATGAGAAAAAAATTATTATATTCAAAAAATGTATACATACATAAGCTACTTCTTAGTATAATCACTGCTGGAATTATGGCACTTTTTGTATTGGGGAATAAGTATTGTATGCCTCTGTCAAAGAAGTCTGCCACCTATGAGCTCAGTCACATTTTGACACCCTACATCAACTCATTATTGTTGAAGAGCTGTGATCCAAACAAGTTCTGCAGGTTGGTAAGTAGGTGGTAGTCGCTAGGAGTGAGATCAGGGGTGTAAGGAGGTTTGCAACACACTTGTGGTGGTATTGTGGTCCCTTATTGCATGAATTCAACCATCAGTGCTCCTATCCTGTCCCAGAAAACAGTTACTGTCAGCTTTCTGGCAGATGTTTAAACTTTTTTGGTGTATTTGGTGAATTTGTGCGCATCCACTGCCTCAACTGCTCTTTGGTTTCAGCATTCACAAATGAAATCCTGGTTTTTTCACCTGTTATTCGTAGGGACTGAGAAATTCATCGCCCTCTTTTTGGTATCATTCAAAAAATGTCATAGCTGAAGCCAATCTCTGCAGTTTGTGTGCACCTTATGCATCTTATGCAAAACTTGTAATAGCCCAGCCTAACTGTGATAATCATATAGAGAAAAGAACATGAAATTTGTGGAAATTCACCCAAAAGTTCTGAAATTATTAAGCGCCGTATCTCACAAATTTTTTGGTCAACACTTTGAACAGAATCATCACTCAGTGCAGATGACTGACCACGTCGCTCTTCATCATGAAAATTTGTTTGCCCATTTTGAACATTCTACACCATTGTCATACAGTTCCTTCACTCATTATATTTTGGCTATCAGCTGCTCATAATTCGCAATGGATTTCCACAGCACTCATATTTTTGACATGAAGAAAGTGGATAACAGTACAAATTTCGCAGCTGGCAGGTATTTTAACCGCCCTCCCTTGAGGCTTCCTGCCCACAAGTTAGTAGCCACCTTTGCTTACCGTCCGTCTTGTTCGCCTTACGTTCGGCGTCACTTTGACTGCCCTACCTGGTGCTGCCTCCGTTGAAGTTGTTGGGGCATGGCTGGTTCTGGCTTGACCAGGCTCCACCGTTTCCTCCTTCCGTTGCTGATTGCGGGGGTTGGAATTTCAGGATAGGACCTGATGTTATGGGCGCCAGCAAACAGCTAGGTGCGGTTTGTGATTCATTATAAAGGAGGGAAGGCGTGAGTGGGTGGAAGCTGGCGATGGGTTTGACTAGCTCCTGGCAATGAGTCTCTCCTCAGGTTGGCTAAGGATCAGGCTCGGACAAGTGAGGGTGAAGCACTTCTAACCAACACAATGCACTGTACCACTGGAACACTTTATTGTTTTCTTACAGTCACTCGGAGGTATAAATCCACACTATCAGGCCTAGTTTCAGCTTCCAAGCAGCCGGTGTTGCACTTGCTCAAATTATTTAGCATAACACGCAAGTATAATCGCGGGGTTTACCTCCGCCAAGTTCGAAAGTTTGTAGCAGACTCCTCATCTTAAACTGGACTCTCTGCCGAGCCAGAGGTCCTAACTGAATTGTATCCGCCTCTTCTCTCCTCCTCCTAAATTCCCGGATAGGCTGATTCAGATAAGAGGAGTTGGCTTAATTTTTTGTTCCGGCCAATGACCGATTGTTTTAGAAGTAGTTTCGGCCTACAATCCCAAACAGCGAAATTGACAGCCATGCAACTTATGAGGGGTCGCTAATGATCTCCTGGCACTCCCACTTTTGACTTACAACTCGTTGAGACTGTCACTGCTCGAATTCTCAAAGTGGCTTGCCGCTGTAAGTCAGCTTCTCAATTTCTAAAGAAACTCAGTGGGGTTCCTTGAAGTATCATTTCTGCCCCTTTCAACACAACACCAGATGCTTGGACGCAAGGACTAACAGATGTCCTTGTCCGCGTAAGTTCGGTCTATCTGCTTGTTCTGACTGTGTCTTAACCTATGTTTCTTTGTAATTCTTACTGTCTACTTTATAAACTACTGAAATAAAAAGAGGGGGGGAAGGATTTCAATGGTGCGGTTACAGTATGTCAAATCACAGGACACACCATAACTCACTCTTTAGAGACAAGAACAAACACTAGGTGACCAGCTATATGATTGTTTACAAGGCAGTGAGTAATGTGATGGTACCTTGCATATGCAAGTTTTCCCCCTCTCCTATATTAGTTGCCTAAAATAAACAGAAGTTACTTTACAAGTAGCCCTTGTATTATAAAAACTTGACTTTCCGTATTTACAGAAATGGAAATGAAAATTGGTTTGCTAATGTGGAATTTTCATAAATTTAATGTTTGTTTTATCTACATTTGAAATATATATGTGAGCTGAATTCATTATGTTACCACATGCCCACTAGTCAAGCAGGAGATACCTCATGTAACCCTGGGAAATGTGTTCTCTTAAGCAATTCGCACCACACAAAATTCATATTGTCTGTTCTTAATTTAGTAAGAGTATTGCTGTAGTTATGACATATGCATACATGCCATATCTGCTGTTGAATTCATTTAAAACTTAGTGGCAAGCATCTCTGTTTCTTATTCGCTGGAGTTTCTTCAAAATATAACAGCTGATCAAGAAATTCTCTGTTTTTGTGGAACCTGTGGGTTCCTTTCCATGTTCGCCCTATCCTGAGTCAGTTAAATTTATTCCTCACCTCTCTCATCTTTCTCGAAGATGCATTGTAATAATACACAGTGCTCTGATGTAAGAAGGAAATGTTGCAATATTTGGGTATGTAGCAGTAATGCATATATACAGATAGCACATTCTGATGTAAGATGGAAATGTTGCCGACAAGAAATATCTCTGGCTGAAAGGGTCAGTTTTGTTCAAAAGCATATAGTGAAATATTTGTGGGTGTATATTAGGTATATTGTATATTTGAAAAATGGATTGACTAATGTATACACAAACCTTTTATACAATATAAGTGTCTGAATAATCATCCCTTGCTACTTCAGCCTCATTTCTGTCATATACAAAGGAATTATTTAGCTTTATGACTCAGAGCAAATATTCAATACTTTTGCACAATCCAGTCTTAATGCTTTTTATTTTTACTGTCATAGAGCCATCCCACTAGCCATTTTCCAGTCAGAACCTAGCATAAAGCGGCATTATCTGCGCAAATGGCTTAAAGACTCATCTCTTAATGACATAGACATCCGTCAAGTACTCGACTGGGACTACTACATTGAGAGATTGGGTGGTACCATTCAGAAAATTATCACCATCCCAGCTGCTATGCAAGGGGTTAGTAGAAGGATGTGTCTCTTTTAAATGTCATCATATTCTCCAAGTAAAATATGGAAAAGTTTATGACATAACAGAAAAATGAGTTTCTTACCTCTTCATTTAGGCACAGTAGATCACTGTGGTCGGAAGGCCCACCCCTTATGCATTCATACCTCCTCATTGCCTCTGTATTACAGAACATACAGTATGCTTCAGGTCTCTCCAAGTAAACATTTTATTTAATTTTATGCCATTTGAAAAATAAAAAAGTCAATCCTACATTTACGTTCAGTGATACAGTATATTTGCTATAGAATGAATGTAAATCATTCATATTTGCCACTATTTAGTTGTACAGGAAATAGCCCAAGTTTGGAACTTGTGCTGTCATGGGCTATACGTTATATGAGTGAAAACCAAATTCAGTTATTTAAGGCATGTCTTGTTTATTCCTTTACAAATTGTAATAACCTATCTCAGTGGGCTGTGATCCATAGTCCATTAAGCCTTATATAGATCACTATTCAGTAAATATTAAACAAATAAATAACCAGAAAGATGGAAAAGTATAAGAAATCTAAAAGAATAAGTGTGAACTCCCCCAGTATAAAATTTACTGAAACAATCTCAATAGAAATAAACGGCCTTTCTGTACAAAGGGCCACTAGAGGAAGAAATTCAGTGTGTAATGGACGTTTAATTGAAAGAAAAAAAACATCATGTAGTGAGATGTTTATGTATTTAAAGTTTAGGAAAGTATTTTTAAAATGTGTTTGCAACATTGCAGTGGTAGGTTGTAATTTACAATTATATTTATAAGCATTATTTTGGGTTTTGATGATTTCAAAGTCTTAATATGAAATGTCAACAAATTGTAGACATTCTCTTATTTCGATTTTTGTAGTTACTGGGAGAAGCATTTGTATTGAAATGTGTAGATTAATTTTATACATGGTTTTTCCAGTGTCTAGGTAATATTCCACTGAGTTAAGTATGTTTATTTTGATTGTCTCACAGACCTTGCAGGCTTTATATTTTTTTTTTTTTTTTTTTTTTTNGTTTGTTCATTTGCTAATTGGTCTTACTGTTTTTCTTACAGCTAGCAAATCCTGTGCCCAGGGTGAGGCATCCTGATTGGCTGCACAAAAAAATACTAGAGAAGAATGACACATTGAAACAGAGGAGGATCAATGAAATGTTTCCTGTGAAACCTAAGAACTCAGAGCCGCAGATTGATGTAAGTGTTGCATAAGTACTGGGCTTGTAACTGTTGGGTTCTTGCTGTAATGTCAAATTAGAAACAATCTGGATCTGCCTTAGATCTCAGTAATATCTTGTTTGGCCAGCCTTTTGTCATATTTATGTATAGCCTCATATTATGCAGTGGCATGGCATTGTGGCATGTAGACCCATTGCTGGCAATGATTGCAAAACAAGCAACTACACAACAACCATTGCTAAATAATGGCTCTGCAAACAAGTATGTTTCCACAGCAACAAGAGAACACAGTAATAATGGAAGAGATGTTTGCTGTGCGGTCTGTACTGAGATGTTATAACTAGGACCAGTTAGCAGCTGCAGTCAGAGAACTGTTGTGGTTCAGTCACTGTGAGCTGTTGATGTGAGAAGCTGGTAGCTGAGGTTGGGAACAATTTAGGAACCCATAGGAAGAAGACCATCCACTACCAAGCACCAGCATTGAAAATATGACTGTGGACACTAGTGTGTATGTGTGTGTAATGATGAGCTGTAAAGTGTAGTCGTCTGCTGTATGAAAGTGTGCAATAAATTGAGTCCTCAATTCAAAACCTGTCAATAGTCATACTCTTATCACATGACAGTATTAATCATTACATTGAAAGTTTAAATATTTTAAAGATGGTAGTATTCCCATTTGAAGCCCTTCTATACTTCAAAATTTTTTCCAGCATTTAATCTTGATGTATTAAATGAATGGTGGTCAGAAACACTGGATAATATCACTGCACAGCCATCACACCGAACATTTTGATAGACCTAATATATATTGTAGCTTGTAAAGCTGTTGCTACGCAATGTCTGCGAGATGAGCAGATATATAAAATCACACATCCTATGTGACAATATTTACAGTACTGTCTCTGTAGTAACTAAAAAGAGAAAAACACTTCACGCATTTCGGTCATGACTAGAGCCTTTTCTAGTTCACTGTTTCAATTATGTGGCTGTTGCTGAGAAAGCATTAAACACTGAGCAGAGTAGAACATAAATTCAGTTGCAGCAGAAGGATGAGACCGAGTCCCTTGGAAATGTGGCCTCAGATGGGCCGATTTTACAAGTCAAGATGACAAGTATGTAGCATTGATGGGATGAAAATTGCAAGGAAAACCCGAAATTTCTAGTGTAAAACGTGCCGCTCTCCACAGAAATCCCACATGGACTGTCCTGGGATTGAAACCAGGGTTTCCCATTGAGAGACTAGCAACTAAGTGCCTGAGCATATCGGGTGAAGACGTGACTTTTACTCTGTCACTATCCTGCAAAGTACAGATGCTGTGCTGTGCCATAGCAAATAGGCGGGTCATGTGGGTCATGTGGAATGGCATTTGTATACTAAATTATTAAAATACTCTGATAGGCAGTAACTATGTTTGTATGCACAGATGTTTGTGAGTTGAATGTTCATATCTTGGAGACTACCTGTACAGTGAAACAGCTTGTTTGACATACATTGTTATAAAGATTATTGGATTTTATTACAGTGAGAATTGTATTCATATTAATTTTCAGCCTGAAACAGATTTATTTGCAACACAATCAAGGCTCCAAGCAGAACAAATTGACATTGAAGATGTAGCCAGCCGACCCCAAGAGTACAGAAGTACAAGCGGGCGGCCTCTGGTCACTAAGAGGAAACGTATGCCTTCAGGAACCATGAGCTCCCCTACACAGTCCACCACATTGACACAGAGCTGGAGAGATGTGCTTGGTCCTCCTCCCCCACTCGGCGACACTAAGGTTTGTAACAGTTTGATTCTTAATTGATAATATTCAGGTATCTTCAGTACAGTTACAGTGCTGTGGATGCATATTTCAGTGCCAGTATCACTTCACTACCATCACAACATTGATGATTTGATAGTTTCATTTATTGAAATATTACAAGGGTCGTACTGAAGGTCATGAGCAACAATCTTTTGTAAAGTAACATGCTTTATTATTGACAAACCAAATACACCACCTCAATCTACAGACCTTTCTTTATTTTTCCACATAATCGCCACTTCTTTGTACACATTTCTCCCGGCGTTCTGGGAGTTTGAAAATTCCCCTTCTGTAAAATTCCGTTCCAGCCATCCGAAGACACAAACGCACTGCTTTCTGAATTGCCTCCCTTGTCTCAAAATGTTGTCCACACAGCTGATCCTTCACAAATCCAAAAAGATGGTAGTCGGAGGGTGCCAGATCAGGGCTATAGGAGGGGTGTGGAAGAACTTCCCACCCAATCTTTGCAATTGCCTCCAATGTGAGGCGAGTGGTGTTTGGGCGAGCGTTGTCATGCAGGATGTTGATGTTTCGTTCCGGATGCACAATGCACGACGGAGCTTGTGCAATGTCTGGACATAACAAGCAGCATTAATGGTTTGCCCAGGTTCCAGGAATTCGGCCAGAATAAACCCCTCTGCATCCCAGAAGACTGTGCCCATCACCTTGACAGCTGATGGCACTGTCTTTGCCTTCTTTTTTGATGGAGAATGCAAATTGTGCCATTCCATACTCTGCCATTTCGTTGCAGGCTCAAAATGGTGAAACCAGCTTTTGTCACCTGTCACAATACAGAGCAAGATATCATCGCCTTCGTGTCGATATCTCTGTGGCAGTTCTGAGGTGATGGCTTTTCGCTGACCTTTGTGGTCTTTGGTCAATAACCGTGGGACCCAACGAGCACAAACTTTCCTATAGCTCAAGCTTTCAATCATCTCCTGTACTGCACTATGCCCTATTCCAAGTTTTCGGGCTATTGTGTCCACAGTCACATGCCTGTCATCTTGAATGATCTCATCCACTCTTTCCTTGTTGCATTCAGTTAAGGCTGTTCGAGGACGACCGTTCTGAGGCTCATCTTCGATGCTGGTGTTCCCATCTTTAAAATGTTTCACCCATCTTCGAACACTGCTCGCACCCATGCACACACTTCCATAAGCACGCTGAAGTCTCTGGTGAATTTCTGCAGCAGGGATTTCCTCTTTCACAAGAAATTCGATGACAGCACGCTGGCGAAATGACATATGGTTCATGATTTATTTAAACCGTCTTGCAGTGCATACACTCATTTATCTCCTTCTCTCCCTCGCACTACATGTTTCGGCATAATAATGCCATCTTCAGGTGCTTACTTATCCACGCCAAACTAGTTCATTGCATGCCTTGTTCTCATATTAAAATAACTAAAATATGTATCTATCATATACATTGTCAAACGTTAAAAATATTAAAATTGTTCAGGATACCACATNGTGACTGGCGTAGTGAGGTGCGACGTAGCGATGTGGTATCCTGAACAATTTTAATATTTTTAACGTTTGACAATGTATATGATAGATACATATTTTAGTTATTTTAATATGAGAACAAGGCATGCAATGAACTAGTTTGGCGTGGATAAGTAAGCACCTGAAGATGGCATTATTATGCCGAAACATGTAGTGCGAGGGAGAGAAGGAGATAAATGAGTGTATGCACTGCAAGACGGTTTAAATAAATCATGGACTTAAATCAGTGCAACAGGACGCTAAAATATAACATGACATATGGTTGTCGGCCATTTTGTTAGGAGTGATACTGGTCACGTGATGCAAGCTATTGACGTCACAAGACACTCAAGGTTAACACAACAGCTGGTTCCACATACCACCAGACTCTCTTTCGTCTGCTGTTCCCAGGTTGCAGGCAAAAACAGTTGCTCATGATTTTCAGTATGACCTTCGTATCAACCATTTAAAAGTGTTAGCAAAATTGTGATTCATTTGCATTTTGTTTATTGAGCGAAATAGGATTGCATGGGGACACGCAGTACTGTAGCTGGTTGAGGCACTGTGCTACAAGCTGAAAGGTCATGGGTTTGATTCCTGATATGGTCATTGGATTTTTTCAATTCACCTAATCTTTCCAGCTGCATTGTGGCCCTGGGGTCGACTCAGCTTCTAGCAGAAATGAGTACCAGGAATTTTCCTGGGGTTAAAGGGCAGGCAATGCATAAGGCTGACAACCTTACCGCCATCTCTGAGCTGATTGTCTAGAAAATGTAGGAGCCTCAACGTCTCAACCCTATGGGTTTCATGGCTTCTTAGAGGGAAAGGTTTACCTTTACCTTTATTAGAATTGCATGAAGGAGAAAATTACATAATAAGCTTTATAATTTGTATTTTTCATCAAATATTATGTTGATCCTATTATGGAGAATGAGTTGGATAAGTCATGTAACACGTATGGTAGAGATGAAAAATGTGTATAAAATTTTGGCCTGAAAAGCTGATGGGAAGATACTTGGTAGACCTAGGTGTAGATGGGTGGATAGTTCTAAACACTGGATCTGAAACACATAGGGTGGGAGGATGTGGACTGGATTCATCTGGCTGAGGATGGGATTGAGTGACAGCCCCTTATGAATCAGTAAGGACTCTTTGGGTTCTGCAATAAAGTAGGAAGTTCTTGATTAGCTTAGTGACTGTAAGCTTCTCAAGGAGAGAGCTGGTTAATATAGCTTGGATTTTACATCACTAGCAAACTTTCCTTCATATATGTCACTCATTCCATCACTTTGTATGTTTGCTGCACGTCACGCAGTAGGAGTTTTATATGACTGTACTTACCTACCACAGTATTATTATTATTATTATTATT